AAGAGGGTCCAAATCTGGGATCGAAACGTCGTTTGTTTTCAAATAAAAAACATTGTCCAGTGTAGGTCGTTTAAAAACTACGTATAATTCGTAACTAACGATCAATTTGAAATTATGAACAACATAAAAAAAAGAGTTAGAACATTTTAGAATATCATGATACATTTGAGCAACTATACTAACGCAATAAAATAATTTCATGATACAAAACATGTAGCAAAGTGATTTTTTACTTTACACTTTAGTCCAGTTTTTATATATGTATACACTCCAATTCCTTTTTTAAAAGAATCGATAGCTGAAAAAGATACATAATTCCATTAAAAAAAAAATTGTACATTCACATCTTGCAAGTAATCAAATCGCAAATTATCCTAAAGTCTGAACGGATTGTCTTCTATTACTTTCCCTATCTTTATTTAAAGGAAAGCTACAGACCAATCTATAGAATCGCCCTGTATATAACATTGAGATAACGTTTAATTAATCCAATTATTCCGCGTCGCGTTTCGTCACGCGCGAAACACCGTTACTGTGCATTTCATCGTGTAACACTGTGCGTCTGGAGAGCTCGATTTCAGCTCGCTTTACGGCGTTTTCATTGCGGCTTCATAAGGCCACATTCAATCACAGCCGGCGACGATTCCGCGCTGTCAGACTGCGCTGCTACTCCCGACTTTCTCGACAGTCGTCGTCGTCGACGTCGTGGTGTGACAGTAAAGCGCAGTTAAGCCGCGGCTGGCGTGTCCGGGGGAGAGTTTTCTGACGCTTCGCAGATGCCTCGATCCGTAACGGCGTAAACATCCGCGAGAGTGCCGAATGAATGCACGTCGCAGAAAAGCGCGGCTGTGCGATTCTGGCCGGAATTGCACCGCGGGAAAATATACCGAGGCGAGCGTAAATCGGTAAACGGGCCTTCTGTTCCGCGACGCGGCCTCGCGGCCTCTTACCCTTGGTACCCTGCGTTTATCGCGAATTCGCGATAAGCCGGGAATTTCCGGTTCGTAATCTCGGTGAATTTAGCGCTAAAGCCGGCTGCCTGAGATTTCTGGACGGCGACGGAATTAGATCTGTATAATTCTCTATTACGCGGTTCATTTACCGCAAAATGCGCCCGTCTGTGATACGGATCTTCAGAGATATATGAGTTAATAGAACCAAGTTCTATCGGATTGTCATATCGCCGCTAAGTTCAACGACGAGAACACGCTTCTCGTAGTCGCGCGAGCTTATCTAATGCTAAATGCCCGATAAAAATATTTGCGTTTTGCTGACCTGGATATGTTAAAAATAACAAAAAGCGCACGATGTCTCTCCGGTGTTAATATTCTCGTCAACATTTATTTATTAATTAACGTGAAGTTGACGTATACGAGGGCACAGTCACACCTGCGACTGATAGACGACTATATTGTAATACCTGCAGCGCATATCGCACGTATATTTTATTTAATGTACACGTAAAAAACTTTCAGTACGAAATGATGACTCATGCCCTTGGCTCTACGTGGAAAATAACTTTAATTTGAAGATCCAAAGCGTAAATGTCTTTGGCAAAGGGAGGGCTCGATTCCTCGTGTTCGCGTTTTTATTGATTGAAGCAAATTCTCCGATCCTCCAGCTGCCGCGACGCTTTTACCCCTACTTTTCAACAAAAATAGAACCGATAGAAACGCTGAGCCCTTTCAATCTCTAATCAGCCGATTAATGGTAACTATCGATATCGTTCGCAAAAATATACACCAGCGTTCGGAAAGCTGACAAAGAGCGGGCGGTACGTCTTAGTTTGTTATATTTTCATAATGATCGCGCACGACGGTTCGAGACGTGGACATTGAATTAGCGCTTATAGCCGTCTGCCGCAATTTCCGCAATTACATAGCGCAAGTTGCGAAAGTTACAAAATTAGCGCGGTCGATACGCGACCGCTCGGACTTCGCCGTTAATCCTCGTTTGCGGCCGGAAAAGAGTCTGTCGAGAGTTTATTCGTAGTGTAATATCGCGTAAAACCGCAGAAATTCCGATATTATTCCATTATATCAAAACTATACGGCTACAACGTGTACGAGCATCCAACGATCAGTTAATGTTTCGAATCAATACACCATCTCTTATTTTTTCAGAAGTGAAATTATAATGGCAATAATAATATCTTTAACATCCGCGGATTGCCCGATCGATCGCGCGATAAACAGCCGAATTTGAACTCAATACAACTCCTTTCTTTCATTTTGTTAAATAAGTTTTTAGTTCTAGCTGGCTTTTGATTCTATTACTATTTAATCGTAAATTTTCTTTTACTTTTAAGAAGAACAATACTCATAAATTAAAGAGAAAAATGGTACACTGGCAGAGACGATAGTTTCAACGAATTATGTATGTCTATTGTGTTGTTAATACATTCAGCGTTAATTTCATAGCACAAATGTGTACCTACAAAGTTTCTGGCATTACTTTTTTATTAAAAAATTTTATATTAAATTTGTTAAACTGAAGTTTGTAATTTGAATTGTATTTTGTAATTATCATCGCAATTTTCAAGAATTACAAAGCTGTTTACAGTTAAATGTTACAACATGATAAATAAAAATAACATCCACTCAAGCTTTTGCTGTCGACAAGTTGAAATATTTCAATCAGATCTTTTTGATAAATTTAAATATAATTTTTTAAAGCAAGTGGTAGTAAAGAGGAAGGTTCGAGAGCAAAAATCGAAAGACTTTCTTACACACATGTCTTCTTGTGTCTTTGTATGAAGAAGGAAGAAACAAAATCATAGAAAGATTAAGGAACTGGTTAAGGAAATTATTTGCGCTCGCTGTTCGCGCGTAGATTTCTTGCCGCATAAAATAACGCGATACTTGTCGCAGGTCGACCGTAAGAAAAGAGAAAAAATTAAACACGTAGTTGTGTGCAGCGTCAATAAGGTTGCATAAGGTCGTTTATTTATAAAGACGCTTAGAAAAATACAGGGCGGAAAGAGCCACGTTTATTTATAGTTTCTCGCTTGTCCGGGATTATAAATAAATGATTCGAAGTATTTCAACTGCTTGTAATATTACTTGCCATAACTTAAGATTTACGAGCTCCGCAGGTTTTCACATTGCGTTCCGCTTTTATGATTTTATTTTATTGTAGATGAAGAAGTATATCTAGATGATACGTTGTAATTCAAAGTTATTGATTTTAGAGTGTAACAGTGATGGGATTCAACGTTACACGCGTTTTACTTATCTGTATTAAAATTTTAACAATATCAAAACTTGGTTCACTTCCGATACGTGACATTACGCTTTAATCCATTTTGGAACTGAGACTGAGACCTTCAGAATGTTAGACGCTACTTATCTCGTCTGCACAACTGTAACACTTGTAGGGATCTCGCTTCCCTTCTATTGGAGCAGCGAACGTCTTTTCAATCTCCCAAAGATAAGGGAGAATGATGGTATAAAATAAAGATAGATGATAAATACATTATATAAGATTGAGAAATGATAATGTATTTATTGTGAAAAATTCTATTTAGATAAGACTTCCAAATACGTTTTTTATCTGCTCGCAAATAACAAAAACGTACATTATGAAAAAGTGAGAAGCTTTATGCTCTAAAGTTTTATTCCGTAAGTTACGAGAGAACGAAAACACTAAGAGTAAATATTAATCGAAAGGAAAGTTCCTTCAGAAGGGTCCTTTTTCTCTAACGGTAATTTTAGAATTTACGTAAAATATAATATTTACTGCGACGAAATTCCGCCGTTTGTCAACTAGAAGCCTCCCTACGCGGCATAAAATGGAGATTTAAGAAGGCACAATGAAGTCCGGATGCTATGTGCCATGACACCAAGATAAAAGTTTATTCTGGCCTTAGCGAGAATTTATCCCCGGTAAACATCGGGAGGCATTCCTACATGGATATACTTAATCGTAAAGTAATGCAAAACGCTTGTTTATGTTTCCTCTGCGACGTGTTTTATTTATTTCAATCGGAGAGCGCGCATGCTTTTTAAGATTAAAATCAGTATGCTCATTTTTGAAACGTACAATGAAATGATTATTTATTATGTACCACACCGGAATGAAATATTTTGAGAAAAACGACAGAAGCAAAGTTTGTTAGAAATAATTAAAATTTAAATATTTTCTATTAATAGAATTCAAATACTTATTTATTATATTAGCTTGATAAATCAAGATTTCTCTCAACATATTATTGAGCAGCGATTTGATCTCTACGATTTCTATATTATTTAAAGTGTCTTTTAATCACAGTTTTTAATAGAAAATTAACCGATTCTCGAATTTCAATTCTGTGCTAGATTTTATTAAAAGAATATATAAAACTAACGCGAATTTCTCTCTTTTTTCGTGTTGCAGAAAGCCAGATTGGCGCGTATCAGAATCGCGAAGGCGTCGAGCGGCGCCGCTTTCGTGAGCAAAAAGAAGGCAGCGGAGGCGCGTTTGGCTGCTCAGGAGAGCGGACTGCACCTGGAGGAGTTCTGCAAGGAGGAGGATATCTTCGAGCTGCAGCATCATCACCTACTTCGTTGCTTGGAGAAGACCACGGTAAGTGACGCCTCTATTTGGTAACAGCTGCATGTCGCGTTTTCATACGGGAGTTCTAGTGTTCCTTATCCGCTCTAAATCGCTCTAAAATCCTTAAAATCCCACCGATAAATTAGCTTTTGTAGACAGAGGACTTGATCCTTTATTTTTCGCCCTAACAATAAAAAGACCTATCTTAGATAATATTCTTTCTTCTCTTACGTTGGACATATTCTAAAGTTAACGTGTGACTTTTAATGAGGAAAATTTGCTGTTTAAAATGTGCGTTAATCCGATCATAACACAAGCACTGAATGCGCTTTATCTGTCGCATTGTTTCTCTGTCAGGATTCTGGAACAATTAAATTATGATAATTAATAGACAGAATAAAAATAATATTGGAAAGCTATATAATACGATAGCACTTCGATAGCATACACTATTCTGAAAAAGAAGAATGATCTAAGGAGGGTAAGGGAGACTTGAAGATAAAATAAAGGTTATTTGCTATCATTACGCAAAGTTTTTCGACGTTCTGCATAAAGACCGTTGCGACGGAGACGGATTAATCTGCGAAATGATAATTAATCATTCATGAATGCAACGTTCTCTCGCCGTGAACGACGACAAACTCGTACAAAAACGCAGTCTATCTTGAGCGCCCCGTCATTAATCCCACGCGAAGCGACAAAGCAACTGCATCGTCGCGAATGCATCGTCGACACTTCCGTTTCTCGCGTCGAGAATTCAATGGGTACTCCGCCTCGAAAATCCGGCAGTCTGTTTCGCGAGTATTGCGCGCCGAGTACCGGAGTAATTTGAATAAACCCTAGCCCCTCCCTCCGTCTCCCGTACGCTCTGTACTCGTCTAATTTTAGCCTGGCGAGAGGTTGGTTGCGCGAGCGAGGGTTGCCGCGTACAGAGTGTAGTCGTTATCGAGCCCGAATACCCGCTACCAACCCTCGTTTACGGAGCGGCCGTTACGGAAACGTACATGCGGGGTGTCACAAAAATTCTCAACTTTTCGTTGCAAACGCAGATAAGAGAGCCGGACAGTAAAGTTAGATAAGAAGTGAGACAGTAAATGTACAAAAATAATAATCTTGTGACATGTATTTTTTTTAATTAAAAAAGGGGGAAATGAAGTACAACGTCAGATGAGATTGTAGGAATATGAAATATATGAAAATCTATGCGACGGCTCATTCCGAGCTAGTTTTCTTTATCTTCTTTTAAAGACACAGAAGTGCAGAATAATGGTCTGCGTAATCTCTGTTTGTATCACTGAAACTTAAGATTTAATGCATATGACTCATAGGAATAAGTCATGTATAATTTTGTCGATTAAGAATACATTATGTTTCTGCTTTTTCTTTATTCCAGCAATCTGCACTCAGAAAAAAGGTTAAGTTAAGTTAATGAGATATGTTGAAATTATGTTTTCTTAATCTACTACTTGAAACAATAGATATGAATTCACTTAGAAATTCCAGTCACAATCAATTAGAATTTTGATTAGGGTAGAGAAATCATTTCTTTGAAATCAAATAAAAGTCTAGTAAGGTTAAGATTTAAACAAATTTGTTTGATTTCAAACAAACCTTTTTCTGGTTGTATCGCCATATGTATAACAAAGTACGAATTTTAAGAATTGCGAAAACCATCGGTTGAAGGAAGGTGGAAGCTGTGCAAGAGAATTAATACGAAACTCGAATAAATTTTTCAAAGAAATTCGATTCAGCGCGTTCGTAAAAGGATTTGCAACTGCGGAAAAGAGCATCACTTTGCCGATACATCCTGCTCGTGTTACATGCCATGTTTCTGCACAGAAATGAATAATACAGGCTTATACGATTAAACCAACCACGACGTACACGAGATATGCACATCGAAAAGATTATAAATATGCTTTGTGATTTATACGACGTATGTAGTGATAGTGCTGATTTTGTATA